CACATGGCCAAAAAATGGCTTTGTTAAAGCATGTATCATATCAAAACATCATTATTTTCATTTCAAACACTGACTTTGATAGCCGGGCCTCACCATCATCAAATTTAAATGTCAACAACCAAAAACAACGAATTTTGAGCAAATGTTTTGTCATATTTAAATGTTATTTGCGACACATTGGAATGCGAAGCATTTAAAAATGCTTAAATTTTTCAACTGATCGAATGATGTAATTTGAAGCCACAGTCATACACGCACGCATGCACGCATATATACATTCAAACTTAACACTTGTGCATTTGCAACGCACAAAACGAAATCTTTTATCTAACTCAATATTTCGTTCATCACTTTGAATTTTGAAAGAAAAAAATGTCAACAAATGGTCGACAATAGAAAAACAAAAGGGAAAAAAATAAACCCATAAACAAAATTTTCTAATGCATTCAATGTAATGGGGGTAAAACATAGTCATCATCAAAATTCAGTGAATTTTGATGAAAATTAACTGAATCCACATGCTTGTATATTGTATACAATATACTATTCATAATTAAATGTGAATCTTTCTCAAAGTTGAAATGTTAGAAAATGTGTGTGTGTGTCTTTTTTTGTTTCTTCGGTGAAGTCGTCACCGTTTGCGCATTCACATCTATTTAACATCAATGATCCACATGTGTTCGTTTTTATCTATCTCTCGGTTGCAATACACCAAGTAGTTTTTGTTTCCACCATGTAAATCATTGGAATTTAGAAACGAAATGTAAGAAATAGGCGAGAAAGTGAAACCAGCCAAAAATAAAACGTCTATACATACACACAAAAAAACTGAAGGAGTCGGGAAAAATGTTACCTACAAAGTTCGAGAGAGAAGGAGAGAGAGAGAGCCGCTGTTTACGTTGAGCTGAAATGCATATAAACAAATCAAAGTCATACCAAAAATGAATGGTCGACAAGTGAGATTTTCATGTTGGTCTTATTCGTTCAAAAGTATGCGCTGCTGCAGTTGTTTTATCTATTTTTCTGTCTCTCTCTCTCTCGCCGACTATTTTGTAACTTTGTTGTAGTTGTTGATTTTTTTTATGTGTTGCATTGCGTCTCGATTTCATTCGACGCTATTTTACATAGAACCAAACAGCATAAAATGTGTTTATGTTTATAAAACCGAAGAGAAGATTTTCTAAACATTTTTTTTGCTTCAAATTTCAACGAAATGAATACGAACGGTTTATGGTTCGGCAAGGGAAAAATTCGTTTGCGCATTAGGTGGTTATATTGTAGATCGAATGGCTATAGAATGTGGCGACCCCAGAAACTTGAAATGTTATTGAACTTACTCTCGAACTCTCGGAGAATGATATGCGCACAACTTTTTCGAAACGAAAGAAGAAAAACAACCAAAAGAGCATCGATTTGGTCGACGATCACTTTTTTTTTTGTTTCTCTTCATGTCTATTTTCAAACACATGTTCGAAGTCATGTGTGTGAGAACTGTTTTTCGGGCATTCGCACCGGCAATTTTTCTTTTGAAAACCGCATCATCATCGTCAATCTCATAAACAACTAAAAGTGAAATGCTCACCGGAAAAAAAAATGGAAACACACTTACATAATATTCTCAAATGGACGATTTGAATGAAACGAGATGAATGAGAGACATTTCATAATGGCAATGCATCAATTTCATCATTTTTAAAATGGACACTTTGTCAATTAATATCCGTTGATCAGGCGCGTGAACACGCACACACATATATATTTCGTTTACATTCATCGTTTGACTCTCCTTTCATCTGTCCGATTTGCTGTGGCCTCCTGCTGCTTCGGCTTCCCATGTTCCACCATCATTTCGCCTTTATAAATACGTCGTTAATTCATACAAAAATAGACCTTTTGATACGAATTTTCTTTTTTTTCTTGTTAATTTTGCGCACGTAAATTTAGACAGTGCCGGAGATGCTTAAAAAGATGATGTAGTGCCATTCACATTAAACAAAAGTGGTTGACCGCATATAAATTGTTTTCGTTCGCTTACACGTTCGTTTAAGCCGAACTGTGCGCCTCTGATGTGCGTAAAAATTGCGAATGCGATATAAAAAAACAACTACAGCAACAACAGCCAAACAGACTTTTCTCGATTAGTTTTAGAGTGTAGTGGAAATTTTTTAGTCAAAATCATCTGTCAAACTATGTGCAAAGGCCAGAATGAATACACAAAAACTCACGTAAAATCAAGCGTAAAATCAATGTGTGAATTGAAATGGCGTTCAAGTTGAAGGATCTGCCAGAAATGAAGAGCGGGGACGGTCTTGGTCATTCGCTTTGAAATTCGAATCAATATCTCATTTTTTACTTAATTTAAGTTGAAATGTTTTAACGTAAGAAGTGTTTTTCCATTGGCTCATTCTATTTAGCGGAATCGTTATTTTGGCAGAAATCGTTAAGGTTGTTAATCATAAAATTCGAGTTAATTTGCGGAAAAAATGAGTGCAGAGGCGGTAAATTAAACTGATAAGTGGATGAAAAGGAAGGAAAAAAAAAATATTATAATAAGCGCATTTGAACGTCATGCCCAATTGAAATCACATGTCTATTTTTATGTTTTCTTACTTCATTTCCCTTGATCGTTCGGGAACGCAAATCATGTCAATATTTATCGAATAGCCGGTTTCAAAATACGAAAGAAACACTGGCTTTATGACTGACACTGATTTCGGCGAAAGAAGAAAAGAACACTTCAATCCGACTGAATAAATTCAGCCGCGTATCACATTTTGAATTCTAACTCGACACTTGTTCTCTCACTGAAAACCATATGTACATCTATTATTAATATCGATTTGAATTTTGACCGCCTGTTCAATTCGTGCACTCAAACACTTGATTCAAGATATGGTCGTTTTTGTTTTTGTTTGGATTTGCCTAGTTTATTTTGATGATATTTTCTGTGCGCGCGGAAATTTTGGTTTTCTGGCAAGTATATTTATCACCTGTTTTTGGTGCTTCATCGCCATCATATCGCCTGTAAAATGACAAAATTTCTGTCTATCTTTCTCGTGTGCCCGCGAGAAACAAAACAAAGTGATACAAAACGATAAAATATCTCTGCTTTGTTATTTTAAATGACTTTGTTGATACACTTTTTGAGTGTAGAATTTTTGACGACCGACATTATATACACACGCGGTGAAAATTTTCCGTGACACAGAAAGAAGAAAAAAACCGACAAAACAACACACAATGGCTTAGACGGAGACGAAATGAATTCAAAATATTTCGCACTGATATCGCGATCTCATTCATGACATTACTTGTGTACGTCTTTTGTTTGTTGTTTTTGATGTTGTCCACCTTTTGTTTGTTTATTGAATTTTTCAAACATTCAAATAGGAAATTCTTACACGAGAGACTCATTTAATTTTCTCAAAAACCACCAATCACACTTTCGCATATTTCATATCAAAATGTTGCATTTTCTCGAGATTTTAAAGTATTTCTCATTCAATAGGCAATAAACATTTCATTTTGCATATTTGATTTATATCACATAGAACATGTAATTGTTCAAAAAAATATAATAAATTATCAAGCAGTCATCAAAAGTTGTTTTTTTAAGAACGAAAAATGACCTTGAATCTAGGATTGAATCAATTTAATTTCACGTTTGCTCATTATCATCATCTCAGAATAAAAGGTTCAAAGAACATTTAGTGAGGAACTCCCTGTTATATAATGTTATATTCCTTACCTTACACTAGTTACAGTGTATTTTGATTTTATTTGTAACATTTTACATTAATTTGATTATTTCGCATTTCTCATTTTTCTCTCACAAATCGGAAATTATACAAAGTTCAGACCATACTTGGAGAACGGATATGAAATAAGCGCTGTGATTCATGTGTGGTTCATTTTGTTAACATAATATTTTGGATGGATATAAGAAAACATCTCTGTCCTTTTACATATAAATTGATATATGTCCGTTTCAACCATCAACAAAAGTTTAAAATGAACTTTATGAAACGACATATAATATCGTGAAATCGTTAAAGTAACGTTATTGTTGTTTTGTCTGAAATAAATTTAAAAAGTTCTCGTGAAAAGTGAAGAGTCAAAAAAAGTGTGGTACTGACGTAATTGTAGGTTGTTTGTTGCTGAATCAACCTTGTATGGTTATAAAAATATAAAATTTACATTTTCAGTTTGAATTCCATGCTAGCACCTGTAGTGTAAATATTAAAACTTGAAGTAAACAGACGGTTAGGGCGACACATGAAAAATTTCGTCGAGCCTTGTATTTGTTTCAGAATATTTGAGAGTATGGTAGATATTGAGCCCCATCAATTTGTTTTATTTAACACTAAATCGAAAACAAATTGGAATTTAATACAGTAAAACCTGTCAATAACGGAACCTGACTTTAGTAGATTCTTGTCAATAGTGGAAAAATAATTCCGCCGTTGAGCTCTCCCATACAAAATGACTTGCTAATAATGGAAAATGGTCAGAAAACGCTCACCCTCAATAGTGGAAAAAGTTTGGGAAAAATTCTTTTATTTGCTAGGGTTTTTCGAACGCGAAGGATATTTTTCGATTTGCTAGGGATTTTCGAGCTGTTTTATGGAAGTCAATTTTTTCCGATTGAAATACCGTTTTCGCTAGGATTTTCCATGCGAAAAATTCTTTCCATTTCTAGTTTTTTTTTTTCCAAAAACACCCCTTGAAAAATTAATGATAAAAATATGTGAATTTAGATAATGGAAAACCATTTCTGAATTGGCGTAAAAACCTGTTATTAATGGAATCTGGAAAAAAAATTGTCCCCGTGAGATTCCGTTATTGACAGGTGTTACTGTATATCTTCGCACGAAAGAAAAAGAATTCAAGAAGCCAAAATTGGAATAACTTAAGTCTGTGTTCCAAAAAATATATAAAAAAATAATGACTAGCATTTATTAAATTCTTGTAAAATTCATTCCTATCCTCTATAGACGTTATCACAATAATCTGTGGGTATATAAGCGAGATGTTGAGCAAGTGCTTTCGTATTAACCAAAACTTAAAATGAAAATATTAATAGCAGCGGCTTTTTTCTGCGCGGCAATATCTTTGTCAACTGTAAGTACACTTAGTAATAGATAGAATTATCCGGAATAGATCACTATTCTACTTCCATTGCTTGTAAGCTATTTTTCTATGGATCAATTATTCGAATTAAGTATTCAACCGCTTTGGAGACGGCGTATAAATGCCTCTATATTTTTAATTTACGATCTCTTATTGGGTAAAATAGTGTCGCGTTCGCTTAGAGATAAGATTCTATACACAAGACAGCAATATAACGTAAACCAAAGAAATTTGAGGAATACAGAACTTATTAGAGTACGGATGTTTACAGCTGAATATGCACATAGTCAACCATTTTACGTGGCGTGTAGAAATTTTAATTTAATAAGAGAAACATTTTTGGAATCGGCATCGAGACACATTTTTAGAAATAGTATTGTTGAATTGGACAATTTGTTATTTAATATTCGGTAAAATAGACTAAGAAAAATTGTGTTATGAATAGTAATATACAATGGACACAGTCGATATCTGCTGCTCCGAAGTCGAAAAGACTGGCGGCTGGTATTCGATCGGGTAGTGTTTCATTGCAAATGATATTGTAAATAATTGTGATAAAATCAGTCTGTGATCAGACGGTGAATAAATAAATAATAATAATAATAATAATAACTGTTCTAGAAATTAGATCCGACCGTGTTTTTTTTTTTGCTAACATCTCGCCAAAAAGAAAGCATTTCCGTTGAAGATATTTCATTTATTTTTCAATATTATGTGCAATTTTTACAATTATTTTTGATTTGTGAGTTAATCGATTAAATTAAAATTCATTTCGTATTTTGCCAGGCTGCGCCAAAGAAGGCGAAAAATGAGGCGCCAAAATTAATTGTAATCTCTTTGGACGCTTTGATGTTCAGTCAAATTCAAAAAAATGTAACACCATTTATATATAATTTTTATAAAAAGGGTGTTCATTGTCCTAAAGTGAGACCCGTATTTCCAACCAAGACAATGACAAACCATTTCTCAATCGCAACTGGTATTTTTACACTAAATGTAATATAGAGTCAATGAAAGTTAACATAATTATGATTGTTTTTTATAGGGTTATACGCTGGTTCGCATGGTGTCACCAATAATCGGATTTACGACAACCTAAAAAAGAATAAGGTTAGTTATTCGGCCGAATTCTTCCAGTCGAGAGTTAACGTCACCCCAATTTGGACGCTCAATGAAATGGCTGGAAAACATTCAGCTGTATCTATGTGGGCATCGTCAGAATATGAATTTCGAGGAATTATGCCAACGTATGTAGAGAAGTATGCCAGGGATGATCCGTGGAAGCCTCGCATTGATAAAATCATCCCATTATTGAAGAGTAAGGAAAATGCAGTTGATTTCGTCATGTTTTACTCGGAACAACCGGACAGCACCGACCACGAATTCTCACACAAATCTGTTCAAGTATGTTGATTATATAATACATTATTATCCTGGGTAATGCAAATTCCATATTTATCTTGAATTTTCGCCTTATTTTCATTTGAAAAGGTAACTGAGAGATTAAAGGACATGGACGCTATGGTGAAGTATTTGATGGAACAAGTTAAAAATGCAGGACTTGCACCAAGAACTGACGTCATAATTATGTCCGATCATGGAATGGAATTCGTTACTGCCGATGATAACTTTATAGTCGATTTGTCCAAATACGTAAGTTATGATACGTGCCAAATGTATGGAGATTCGGCCGTGATGCAAGTTGTCGCCAATGATGGACAAGATATAGTAGAAATATGCAACAAACTTAAAAATGGTAGTCGTCAAAATAAACATTTTAAAGCTTATTTGAACGATGATTTACCCGAATATTGGCATGTGCGCAACGAACGACTGTTCGGACCTTGTACTGTTGTCGCAGAACCCGGCTATGCCTTTGAGAATATAAAGAATTATTTCGCTTTGTTCTCCAACTACCGTAAGTTCTCTTCTGTTTTAATTATTCTTATCACAAACCGAATACGTAAACAACAATAATTTACCATTCGATAAAACTTCAGATCATGGAAGGAAATACGGATATCACGGCTATGATAACAAAGCTCCATCGATGCAAGCAACATTCCTGGCCAATGGACCACGATTCAAGAAAAGTGTTCGAATTAAATACATGGAGATAGTCGATATGTTTCATTTATTCGCCAGGCTACTCGGCATTGAAAGTCTCGTTCCAGATTTAAATATTGACGGTATCGACAAACCTGATTTATGGGCCAAAATGCTGAAACAATTGTAAAATAATCCGCTCATAAAAATAAATTCAAACTCATAAAAGGATTCAAGATACTTTAAAAACAAGCAGCAAAAATGACTTATATTCAAAGTTTTATTCAATACTTCTTTCGAAATTATCCAAAAGAAGTTCAAAAAAATTTCTTTCACACATTTTTTCAAAATTTAAGATGTTAAAGTTCTTTCTAAATCAATTAAATTTCAAATCTGCATCCCAATATCAGTCGTATTTCATTTAAACAACAATGGTACTATTTCCATTGAAACATTCTGCATTTCAAAGTTACAACATATGTTACTGAATCATACCAATTATCTAGTTGGTCATATGGTTCGAAACTCTCGGACGTAAAACTCAGACCGATATCAACCCTCGTAATTAAAAGAACCCATCTCTTTTTCATCAACGTCTTTTGCATAAAAGATAACCTTTGTTTTTTGCGGAGTTTGTTATTTGACTCAAATGACTTATCGACGAAAAACCAAAATAAACACATTTAATAAATAAAGTCGAATTATTGTACAAAGTCGATATGTATATTGGTTTCAATGCCCCATAATGATCAATTTTGCTGCCACTTGCTCCACAAAATTGAATGCAAACAAAAACTGAATGTGTGGAAATGCGTCCGAATGAGAAAAGAGAGAAAAAGAAAGAGAGAGAGAGACAGCAAGAGAAAATGAAGCATTGAAAATAAAATTAAACATTGGCATGTGGTAAATTTCTTGTGAGTGATATCCAAATATATCAACGGTGTCTAGTCGTGCTTATATATTCTCCGTTGTTGTTTTTTTTTTTGCTCTTGCTCGATGCCTTTCAAATGATTTCAAGTGCAAGTGGAAAATAGTCTCGAGAATGTTTTACCAACGCAATGAAAAAACAAAGCAAATTTTGGCACTCACAATGAAATGTGTCACCAAAAATCTGATTCAAATCTACTATACTCTCTCATTCTCTTGAACGTTCTCGTTACGGACTATTTGCATTGCAACGCCAAATTTTTTTTTTTTTTTTTTTGCTTTCATTTTAAAGCGAACGCAATTTCACCGATTATTCATTTAGTTGTGTACCGAATTTGATGCGAATGAGAGACAGTTGTGTTGTCATTTGGAATTGGCATCGGATCCGTATGAGATAATGGAATGCAACCCAATTAATCTTGGCGTTTTGCAATGTTTTCTGTTCATTTTGTGGTGCTGTCGTTCGAAAGTTATTTGCTGAAACAACAGTAAATGTTGTGATTGTCACAGATTGATTTGCGAGCAAACGAAACAAAGAAAAGAACTCAAAATTGCAATAGTTGTATGGAGGAAACACAAAATGCTATGCGATATTAACCGGCATCTCGTCAAGGATTCTTTAAATCTGTGTATAAGCTCACATTTTCAAAAGAAGAAGAAAAAAAAGAGAGAAGAAAACATTTGTCTAATGTTTCCATTAAGAGAAACGAAACACAGAGTCGGCAAGAGAGTAAGTGAAAAAGAGCAAGCGACGTTTCTTATACATCGTTTGCATGAGATTGGTAAATCTGAAACATCTGCTTTTTTCCGCGTCTGCTCGAATTGATCGTGAAAGATGCGAATGGGATCTCGCAGAGATCTTGCTTGGAAAGACGTGTGTGCATTTATAAGAGATGGGGGAGACTACAGAGAAGCAAAATGACATGGGCATTTGTAAATGCTGTGCTAAGTTAAAAACTAATAAACACAAATTGACAATGTGACAGAGCCAGCGAAACGCGTGCCACATTGCGTTGTCGCAGTTAATGAAGCGAAACAACAAATAAATAATAAATTGATGCAATAAACTATTGCATATTCATAATGAAAAAGGAAGAAGAAGAAAAACACGAAAACAAGAAAGCGAACAAATAAAATTGAAACAAATAACAAAAAGCGGAAGTTAACAAAGGATGTCAAGAGTACGTGTGCCTTCTGTAAAATATGTAACATGAAACGAGTTCGAGGTGTGAAATCGGACCACAATTATCAATGTCCATTCACAAAATTGTTGTGTTGTGGCATTTGTAAAATTGCATTTGTGCACACATTTCAATTCCTCTGAAACGTATCCTTTTTCTTCTTTGCTTCTTTTAAATGGCAAATGAATGTTGTTTTATTCCAATGCAATAAGTTAGTGCACATATACTAGATTGTGGTGGTGTGCTGTTGTTTTTGTTGGCGCACACACGATTTGTCGCTTGTGAAATTGTTTACTTTTCAATTGCCATTTCACTTTGCAAAAATTGCATTTGGATGCAAAGTTCGTTTGAAAATTGCGCACATGCCTGTTGTCTATGCTTCGGTTATTTTACGGCTATATATCCTCACACTATTTTCATATGTCTTGTTACAATCATGGGATGTTGCGCATTTGTTTTAATATAATTACGTGTTTTTCGCATGAACTTGTTCTGTTCCTCGCAAGACGCAATAGAGAAATGAAAAATAAATACTTTCTCTCTTTCGCTCTCTCCCATTATCGCTTTCTTCCTCTACGTTTCGCGACATACAAATGAGAAGAACTGTAAGTCAGCAACTAAATAAAAGATGGCAAAAACGGTATCGTTTGGTTTGTCGCACAATGAAAGACATGTGCATCTAAATCCACCTGCCTATGCCATAGGAATGACCATTTTGAAGCGTCAACGTCATACACTGTTCATTCATTCGTTTTTCACATGAAATGACTAATATCAAATTGTGACTAAACACCAACCAAATGCGAAATATTCACGTTACTTTAGAACGCACTCAGTCTTCGAGCCGTCGCCTTGGCAATTCGATTTTCTTTTTTACTTTGGCATGGTATGTACTAGTTCAATGAAATTTTTTGAATAAGAAAGCAATTTATGTTATTGCCACTTAAAATTCAATAGTTGAAGAAAATTTTCTTATTCCTCATGGATACTAAAGGTATAAGGTGGACCACGATACAAAATGGTGCAAACATTTTATTTTATATTCAGTTGAGTCACACTAAAACTGTTTGTTGAGAGAAACATCGTGTTTTTAAAAAAATAACTGTGTGACTGGGCCTTAGACAAATGATTCATACTTTTCAATTTTGTGTTATTCGAATCATTCATAAGAGAAAATTTTTTTGCAATGTTTTTGTTTTGCTCATAAAAATGTTGCCAATTTGCAAAGCAGCACTCGACCATCCCCACCGGACATGCATTGTATTTGAATTGTGATTCATTTCGTTCAAACAATGAGTGTTGTGGTTTTCTCAAAAATGGAAAATAACCGTACAGAATCGACGTAAACAAGATGGAAAACTGCATAACGAAGAAATAAAAGAAAATAAATAAACGAGTAGCGACTAGGCGATCAATTATTCAACAACACAAATCTATTTTTGGGATGTTATTTATGTAGAAAATCCGTACGAAAAAACCAACCATTCTGAAAGATAAAACCACAACAAAACACACACTCGTTGCGCGTTGATGTTGTTTCTTGTTGCAAGGAAAATGCACTCTGCGATCATTGTACTAAGCATAAGCAACAACCGCATCTAAAAGGTATAAAATGTATGGCGGTGTTGGCGACATGATATTTAATCGTTTCTGTTCGTATTCAAATTCCACCTCAACCAGTAACTGTGTGATACTATCGGTTTTGTTATTCTTTGTTGTTGGCTTTGTTTTTCCTAATGAAAATAGCATTTCAACAGAGTGTTTTGTTGTTGTTGTTATTGCTGCTGCCGTAGTTTGTTGAAGGGTGGTTATTTTTAAAATGAACTGCGAATGCAATGTTGAAACGGCTGCAAGCCGTATGTTTCACGAACCAATTTCAAATCACCAAACATAAATGCGCTTCAACGAAGAAGTAATAACAACAACAAGCAATCATTTGAACATTGCATGTATTATGCGTATTCAAAAACACGCGAGCGCGCGCACACTTTCGTGCACACAATTGAAAGATTTGAAACAAAAAAATAACACACGAAGTTAAATAGCGATAAAGATAGATGCATGTCATTCGTGCACAAAGTCACTTGAGATTTGCCAAATGCAACCGACATCAATAACAACCAATCCCAGCTCTAGCTACAACAGTTTTCCGATGTTTAATGGCATTTTGTTTTTCGAGTGAGACGCGTTCGCACATGGAAAACTCATAGACACGAACTTCGATTGACTCGATATACGAACGCATAAATGTGAATACTGATGATGGCGGAATAGTAAAAATGCTCGTAAGCTACAATGTAATCAAGAGAATCAAATAAGAAAACAAAAACAAAAAAAAAACAAAGTTATGTCGCCTAAGAACAGATTTAACTCTCGAATGCATCGCATTTATTCAATTCAAGGGTATATACGGTTTGTACATGATGTACAACAGAAAATTAATGTTGATGCGCACATGCTGTTGACTTACTAAATGTGCGGTATGGATGGCGTTTTAGTGTGCACATTTGTAGTTTTATCCTATAAACCATTCAACGGAAAAGCTATCAAACGATCTAATTGCTGTGTGATCACATTTCCGCTGAATTAAAGAACGAAAAAAATAAAATAAAATGAATGACAAACAAACAACAGAACGAAATACCTGAGCCATGAATCACCCACCGATGAGGCATGTTCCTTAACAAAATTTCACCATTCGCATTCGTATAACATCGTTTGGATGAGCATAACTCATTCGATGATCACGATCGTTCGGCAGTTGATTACTTGGCATTTGTCAAACGCGGTGAAATGCAAATGTCGAGAGTAGAAAAAACACACGCCGATTAAAAATCCTAGTAGATATGATTTATGGTTGACAGAATAGCGATTTACCGTAAGTGTGTGCAGATGTTGAATAGAAAATTATGGTGTTCATTGACCTCGCGCGTAGAAAAAAAAGAAGATGAAACTGACACTAAAGAACAACAACCGCTTTGGGTGCGTGCGTTTTATGGACCATTTAAATATATAACACCACCAAATCAAATGACAATTTGTAGGTAAAGTTCTTCGACAGAAAGAGAAAAACTATTTTGGTGTTTGTGTGTGTGCGCGTGTTTTTTTAATCTTCTTGAAGATTTTCGACGTAATTGCATCTTGGCTGATGTGTACGATGCACACGGGGAATATGTACCATCATTGTCGTTGTTGATGTCGTCGTCGTTGTCATAATGTGCATCGACACCGAGAGCATATGTTTTCATCTTATACGCAATTAATTCTAGAAAAATAAAGCGAAAAAAAAGTGAATAAGATCAACAACAACACACGCAAAGAAACAGGGAGAGCAAATTGAACTCTCCGACTACGACTTATAATAAATTGCCAAGAAGCAATCGAACAGTCATCAGATACGATTCATAATGTTCGAAGAAGATGAAGAGCAACAAACGGCACGCCAGTTATAAATAGACTCACGTAACAATATTAATATTAAAAAAAACGGTTTTGTGTGTATGTAGTTTTATTTTTCGTTCGTTTCTTCGTTTGTTTCTGTGAGGAGGGAAATCAACTAATGAAACAAGAAGACACCTAACCGCGTAGAGTCATCATACAGTTTTAAAAAGAAGATCATATACTTGAAATGATATCTATACATAATGGAAGGCACAACAAACATCTAAGGATAGTCATCGATTCATCGGTTCTTCGCAAAAATGATGTCTTGATCATCATCGTTATCATCGACACTGAGTCATATATTAAAAAGAAAACGACCGCGGTAAAAGAGCACGGAAAAACAAACGGTGCAAGAGATGAGAGAGAGAGAGAACGAATAAAAACATACGCATACGAGAAAAATAATTTTTCTTTTGAAAAATGTTGTTGAGCTATTGCCAATTTCCCAATAAACAGAAAATGAAGAGGAGAGTTCATGAGCATTTCCAGAAAATAGCACATTCTTATACATACACAATTGTGTGTTCCAATTAGAATGTATCAATATGCATATTATAGTTCGATATGCGTTCATGCATTTTGTTTTTAATCGAAGAAACTCTACCCACCAGTGTGCGTGTGTTCAGTGCAACACACATTTTCCTCTTTGCGTTTGAAAAGCACGTTTTTCATGCGTTTGCCGACTACCGTAATATATTCTCATATCGTTCGCTCTCCATTAGTCTAACGCTCATTTGTTCGCTCGAATTTCCTTGTTTCATGTATAACACACGGCAATATGTGAACACCACCAGCCGACAACGACATGTGTGATTCCTTACGGCTGATGAAAATGAAAATCTTCATCAACGTTGTTGTGCACGTGTGTGTTTGTGCATTTAGCATTTTAGAGATGCGAAGGAAAATAAGAGGAAAAAAAACACATATAGAGAACACAACACGAAAGAAGAACGGTATGTATATATATATTCTGATTTTTCAACTACGCACGCGTGCCTTGCGCTTGCACGGCTACGAAATTTAAGTCAATATGCGCAAAGGATATATTTAAAAAATCAGTTCATAAGTAACCATTGTACGGTGAAAACGTAGTATCCGATTGTTCATTCAATATTTTCTACTTCAACCAAATTTCAAAGACGATTCGATCGCAAACGAGAATACGTCCTAAACAGAGAGATAGAAAAGCAACCGTTTTCAATAATCAATAATTTAAAAAAACAGACTTTTCCGAAGTGCATCTTTTTTTTTTGGAAAATTATAACCACTCAAATGATTTACCGTAAAAAAATAGTGTTTTTCATTCGAAATTGTATTATTGACCATTGTGCCAGCGGGTGATTTTGTGTTAGCGTTCCGAGCGTAAGCATTGTGTTTGATAGATACAAATTTGTCATTGACAAAACAAAAAACACCGTACAAAATTTTTTGATACGCAAATTACATGAGTCGAACGTGAACGGACACGGGAAAACAAAATTATCACACCGAGAAAAACGCGCAATTAAATTGCATTGAAAATAATATGTTTTGCATTCGTTTCGTATGTTTAATAAGTGTGGAGGCGAATTGTTTTTTTTGTTCGTTCTCTCTTCCAAATAAAAAGCAGTTATGAACAATAAAAATAACAGCTTTACGTAGTGCAAGAGTGAGCTAACTGCATCGGAAAACACCAAACGGACAAAATAACAAATAAGAAAAAAGAAGAAAACAACAACAAACAAAAATACAAAACAAATAAGTACTAAAGAATACGAATAAAGACAGGAAATTATTTATAGCGGTGAAGAGTACAATTTTCCGTGAATTGTGGTGCAAAAAAAAAGACACAGCGGCAACAACAACAGTAACGCATCAAATTGCACGTAAAAACCCTGACCGTAGTGTTAACGACATCGCCAGTGGCCGTTATTGTTCTCATTTGATTCGCTTAATTAAATCAGGACTTGGACCAACGACCACCATCACATTCTTATTCAGTTGCGCTGAACTTTTGACAAACGCTCTACATTTCGCTCACAATTTAAGGTGAATGATCTTGATTAATTCATCTATTATTAGTTAGGTTTTTTTAAAAATATTTTTTTCAAATCTTTTTTCAATCAATTCGAATTGAGTGGGACAATTTATTGAATGTAATCCACGTTTATGAGTCGTGAGAGAATCATTATGATTCGAATCCTTATAAAACACATCATGACTCAACCGAACTTTTCTTTATTTCAGTTCAGGTGGGAGAATACACACAGACAAAGTTGGCAAATTTGAAATGAAATAATTGAAAACAAAAAAAGCAATTGCATGATTATAAATCGTGGAGCAAAATTTTCATTTATTATAACGCATGGGAATTTTCACTTGTAACATTTTTTTACCCCGGAAAAGTTTTTTTTTCTTGAGTTTTGTCGTAATTTCGAGGTTGAACAAGTATTTTGCATATTTGAAAGTGAATAGTATCTTCTGATATATATACATTTTCACCATTCAATTGAACAAATCAACAACTTGAAATAAAAATCATCTATTTTTCCCATCAACGCACACAATTGGAGTGGATTCGTTAATTTATCCTTAGTGTTGCTTACATTTGGTTGCACATGTAATATGGATGCATTTACAGTGTAAATCTCTATGTCTGCAGCTACTCGAAAAAAAAACCCAAAAAGAATACGAATCAAATGCAATGCGCGTAAACTGAAATTTTTATACAGGATGCATTTTCCAGATAACGTGCGCTACCATCGATTCCACTGGTAAGGTACGTACGTTTTCTTCTTTTGAAAGACAAACGAACGGACGAATGAAAAAAAAAGAAGAAACTAAGCGAGATCAACAAAAACATGTGGTTGGTTTTATATGTTCATCACCGTCTTTTTTCCTTTTATTTCAACTCCTGTGAATTGCTCTTCTTCGGTTTAAGTTTGTTTATTTTTTTGTGCTCTCAGTTTCATTAATGTCAAGAGAATTTTTACATGCAACTAAACAATGTTTGGCCTCATTAGAACGGATGTTCATTTACTACTTTAACGGGGAGATGAATTTAACGTGCAATGCACATGGTTTTTCATATGATGCACATTTTGTCACATTTATTTCGATTTGAATCAATTGTCTGTGGTGATGATATTTTGATTTCTACGCATTTTTACGTCAACATTAAGCCCAACAAATGTCTTTTTCACATACAAATAATGCAACATCGAAAATAATAAAAGAAATATATGCAAAAAAGAATGATGAAATAAACTCAGATACCATATTGGTTGATCACATAAGAATCGGATTTCTTTTACATGGCAACATATTATCTTAATGTGTGTGTGTAATTACACAGCGGTTGCGAATCACATGACAACAAATCGATAGCAAATGTTTGCTTGGCTTGAAAACTATTGTAATACAGCCGCTAGTATGTTGATCCATTCGTATCGTATTCATTTTTCATGTGGTTTTTTTTCGCGCCGAATTTTCGATTTCATCTCTGTCGTTTGTTGTCTGTTTCGCGCATAGTTTGAAAATTGATGTATAGTGTGTAATCGAAAGCGCGTGTGGCTTGTGTCCATTCGGTGTTGCTAATGTAAAAGAGCCACTCACCCGTTTCTCGTGCTGTCTTTGTTGTACATACGGACGCATACATAACCATGTTGACGATCATGATGATCAACGAAACCAAATGAAAATTCAATCGAAGAAGAAGAAGAAAAAATTGCCGGGCACATTGCCAAATTATTTGTTTAGAGCTCATTCGGGCGATGACGTATGTAGCAGGTTGTTTCGTTGTTTCATTTCACATGAAAATACTTTACTTTCATTTCGGCTTTTGTCGATGCCTGATTATATTTTCCTGATGACGATGATTTGGATGTTCGCTTGTTTCACTCCAATTCAAATGTGTGAATCTTTAAATGCCAAATCTTGTTAGCGATTATAAGCGGTACACTCTTTTATTTAATTCGTGCCATTTAAAACAGCTTCGAAACACATATGCAAAACGTATAATTGAAATTAATTATCATAATAAATTGCATATATTTTTTTTATTCTTCTCAAAACTAACACAAAACTGCAAGTATTATAATTTATTGTGCACATGCTGGCACATTTTCCTCGTTCCGCTGGCATCATGATTTCCGGCATATTCCATCGCCAATCGTTTTTTTTCTCTCGTTTTCTTTTGTCGCCGTTTTCTTTTTGTTCGGGGCTCGAGGTACAAAAATCTCAGTGCCAGAATCCCATAGAAATGAGAGTGCAACTGTGGATGTATGAATAAATACGGAGAAAGACTAACGAAATTACGTGACGTTTTATTCTCTTTTTTTGTGTGTGTGTGTGTGTATCATTTCAACCGTGTAAATAAATAAATCACCAAACGGGAGAAAATCATTCCGTATGCAACGATGCGACGATTTTCTGTAGTTTTTCATTGTTTATTCTATATACTTGATGGTCTAAATTTAGAGCGGTTATTATATATTCGGGTGAAATGATGAGCACGCAAATGCTGGCATCCGCGTATCAGTGCTACTAATTCAATTGAATTGCATGCACATAGGCTTTGGGCCACACTATTGGAATAGGTAATAAATTATCAGTTTCAGTGTACTGCGGAGGTGTTAAAAGTCTTACTAGTGATGAGGAACAGCAGTTGATTTCGACATAATATTTCGAAAGAAAAGCATAAATTTTGTATATATATATTGCTGTTCATTTTTACGTTGGCTGTTTTTATTCTAAGAAATGTCTGTTTTTTTTTGTTTTTCTCTCGCTTCAGCTTTCTTTCGGTGAGCCAAAAAAAAAGACGTTCGCGTGGAAAATGATCCATGACGCGGCTAATCAGACGGCATCATCGGTGCCAGAAGAATTATACAATTTGACGCAGTTAGCTGACGTTACATTGGCGGCTGGCAAACTAAGCACAACAAACATTCAAACAATAAAGGATTACATCCGTAACGAAGAAACTGTCACACCTGCAGTACAGCTGCTCAATTCAAATCGTTCATTGCAAATGACCGAGTTGATTGTTATGAAAAGAAGTAATTCATCGGATATATCTGACACGTGTAGCTTGACAAATTCACCGCAAAAATTGCTCAGCGACGCTGGTTATATGTCCGATATGGAGTATTCAGATAAGAAAACTTTTTTGTATGCATTACATTCGAATCACAGTCAATCAATGGAGACCGACACCACCATAACAAATATGGAGCAACCATCGCGTCCAACATCGAGTAAATCATTTGGTGAACAAAATCGTCAAAGTTCATTCTCATCATCTGAAGATGATTCAACATACAATTATTCGCATAAAATTTTCGATAAAAGAAAATCCCGCAAACTTCATTATCAAGCACAAAATGCCGGTGACAATACATCAAAATCGCCCGATCCAAATGCAATGATAATGGTCGTTGAAACCGAAGACAGTATGCTATCGATTAGTGAAGTTGAAAGCAATGATGGCGAATCTAGACAAAAAATCAAGTCAATTTCCATTGCGGATGATATGGATTTAAGAGAGAAATCAAATATGGAAGTGACATCAGAAACCGAATCAATGAATGGCAATTGTGGTACAGATGATGTGCACACTTGCCCAGAATGTGGAAAAAAATATTCAACATCATCGAATTTGGCCCGTCATCGTCAAACACATCGTTCACTTCTCGATAAAAAAGCTCGAAGATGTCCACATTGCGATAAAGGTAAACTCAAGCAGAACAATAAAAAAAGCACACACTTCTTATTTTGTGATCGATTGATTTATTTCTTTATTGATTTTACAGTCTATGTATCAATACCAGCTTATAGTATGCATCTTAAGGTGAGTTAAAGCATCAAATAAATCCATATTTATGTTGTGTTCCAATAAATGAAATCTTGATTTTATTTTCTATTGTGTATACACAGGTGCACAATCAAGGTTGCGAGTGTCCACATTGTGGCAAGAGATTTTCTCGTCCATGGTTGCTGCAGGGTCACATTCGTACACATACCGGTAAGTTTGAGAATTGCGATTTAATCCGCACCCTTGATTGAGCTATGACACAGAATGAAATTGAATTATTATTCATTTATGGTTTAGGTGAAAAGCCGTTTCAATGTTCGATTTGCACGAAATCATTTGCTGATAAATCTAATTTACGCGCTCATATCCAAACACATTCGAATACAAAGCCGCACACTTGTGGCCGATGTGGCAAAGCATTTGCATTAAAATCGTATCTATACAAACATGAAGAATCATCGTGCATGCGAAACCATTCAAAAACCGAAAAAGAGAAAAACAAACAAACAATTCGATCGAAAACATCGAAAAAAATAACAGCGTTTGGAAATCATTCCGTTGTTCTGAAAAAAATTAAAGAGATGGCCACCACTGGTGACACACCAATTGAATCGCATACAATGGCAGTAGTGGCGGCAGGAACAGCGACAATATCACCAGAATGCATTATACTCGACGCCGGTTCAAAGAAAAGCTACATTGATTTAACGGAATCGAAAGCAACAACAGCTGTTGAACCATATCCTCGTATTAGTGTCATACGCACAGTCAGTTCACAATCACCACCAGCAATGAAAACCGACCAATTTGAATTTTATCAAGAAAAACCTGTTGATTTTTCACCAAAACATAAGTACAAAACTGATTCGACCACCAATAATAGCAGCAACAACACCAACAAAAATCTATCGCTACCTAATCAATACACAACAATGGTCGTGTAATGCATTGGACATTTATATTATTAGACTTATTGGATTTCTTTTATTATATTCTATTTGAAGAGAGAAATTGATTTATTCCGCAACCGAATTGTGTGAAGGTTACAATTAAATTTAAACCTTTAAATCAATTCACTTTTGATTTGAAATTTGACATTGAAATCAATGTTTGAGTTTGAATATATTTGCAATTGAATTTCATTCGAAATTGAAATATTCGCAGAATTCGGTTGACGATATTCCACATTTTTCTTCTACAGTCTAAATTTTAACAACTGTTTAGAGGATAAGAACAAAATACTTGGAATATTGAGAAAAACTCGATATTGTCAAAAAAAGCAAAAATGTTGTCATCATCATAATCACTCATTATACAATTTAAAAATATATATAGCCATGTAAGTTGTACATTGAATTTAAATCAACCCGCTGAAAACCAAAGTGCCATTTTTAATCTCAGATAAGAAATTGTTTTTATTTTAAGTACGAGATAGTCGAAACGATTAACTGCATAGAAAAAAATTGTGATATTTGGAAGATATTCTGCTCTAAGTTTTAATAATGTAGGGAATATAATTTGTTTGTTGGTTGGATATAGCACCACTCATTCATTCGAACACTTTTCTTTTTCGAGAACGTAATTTTGGAACATTCAGTATACAATAGCGTAATCAAATAGATTTTATCATATTTTTTTTATGAATTCAAATTTATCCGGATGGAATTGTTAAGATAGTAAAATGCATTTAATGCTTTTCCCAAACTTTGGAACAACACTTCCGAAGGAATCAAATGACAATAAATCAGATGGAAAAATCAAACGTAAGTGTAACGGAATGTGTATTTTAAATGTATGTTTCTTTAGTAATTAAATGAATAATTCAATCAAATGAGAATTTCTAGTCTAACTTTGTATTTATCGACAATTATATGAAGCACATGTGCGCAACAAATTTAGTAAATATAGGGAAAAAAAAGATACTTTTTTCTATTACCTATTTGTAATGAGACAGTAATAAACGTAGTATAATTTAGGAAAGTGCGGCCGATTGGTGCAATACAAATATTATCTCTGTTTTTAATTAGCTATTCGATTAAGTCTTAGCTCTTTACTCAAAGTATGTTCGCATTTCAAAACAAGAGGAACAAAAATCACAACGAAAACTTAAGAAAAAAAAAATGATTTGAATAATGTTAGATGATTTATGTTAGACTATTTTTATACGTATCATTATAACAGCAGCAGACAGAGCTAATAATCCTATAATCTAGCATCTCAACGTAATAGTGTGAGAAATATGAAACCAAGAATTACATTTATATCGATGAAAGTCAAAATGGCCGGCCTACAGGGATCGTTATGCGCCAAATTAATATCTTTGATTATCGCATAACTGCACTATGGGTGGACTAAAATTAAAAACTGAAAAAAACTATGGCACTTATTAGATGGAACAATATCATGTATAAGCGAAATCATTCATCTGAAATCGTTAAAATATGTCATGACAAAAGTGTGCTCTATGCCACTTTAGCTTTCATCGATTTAAGGCTCAAAGTATTTGAAAAAAAAGGAGCGGTAATTCACATTTGGTTTTTTTTAAATGTATTTCTTTTAACGCATAGTTTTTAGGTAGCTTTATATTATTGTTTGAAGTGTGTGTGTGCACATTTAAACCTAAATGATGAGCTTTGGTTTCGTTTTATTTCGTCAAAATAATTAGTCTAAAGAGTTGATATATTTGTTTTTGAATTAAACCGTTAGCCGTAGATCGAATGATTACAATTCGATCGATATAATGAGTTAGGAGTCTTTTTTTACTTGACAGATTTTAGAAATAATTTACTATTGGTATTTTAAAATCTTTATATTTACTTTAAATTTTGTAGTTGAAACAGTTTTTTTTACGAATGAATAAAGATGAACAAACACGAAAACAGAGCTTATTCAAAAATGAAGCGGCATTTCCGGTTCATTCACTTTTTCGTCTTTCTTTTCAGAGAAAACTCCCTTTCCATTCAATGGTATGTATAGTCGTAATTGTAAGCGGAAATACCATTAAAATCTGAACTTTGTATATTATAAAATCATCATCCACTCGTATCATGTCATGTCATGTCAACACAACAGTACAGTCACCATACATTGTGGCAAACACTTGATATCACAAATCAATTTATGCAATTGCATAAAAACAATGCTAAAAGACGAAGATAATTTGATCAAAATGTATATATTTTATATGATGGGATGGCATCATTTCTAGTGGCCGTCAATTGTGTCGACGAAAGATCACTTGATTACAGAGCATAAAAGTTCAACATTTATCATATTTGAATGTGCGTGAGTGCGTTTTGATGATATGATACAAAAACATGCTAAAAGCCACGAAAATAAATGTCAAACATTCATTTATGGTTCTATTGCGATGCCCGGTTACAATTTATTGGCATATAACTACAATCAAACAGTTTAAAAACACTTTGAACATGCTCTTTTAATTAATCAACGATATATTAATGTGAAAGAACACTCGAGAATGTGGTTCGTTTTTATTTTACTCCAGCTCGCAACTGGCTATGTTGTTCAATATTGAATGCGTCGAATGTTGGTTTGTGATATTAAATAAATAGTGACGTTCAACGGACTCAAACCAAACATAATGCAGTGATGATCATGATGCGAGTGTAAACTTCTTCTCGATTTTTTTCTTCTTTTGAATATTGACAAAAAACCAAACTGAAATAAACAGCAAAGTAATTGAGGCTAATTGAAACTAATTAATGTCAACAAAAATTTTTGGACAAAAAACTATAGTCATCGTCAAGTGCGCTGTATGCATACATACGTATACTTAGGACAAAGACTTTATTGAAATTATCAGAACAGATCTATCTATATGGATATTGGTGTAGCTGATATGGGCTCAACTAAACGACATGCTCTATTCAATTTCCCAGCATCGTTTTCAATGTTTCTAGGGTCAATAATTTGAAATCAGTACGAAGCTGAGGCTCAAACATTGTTGCTCTCACTTTCAATTAGAAAAATAATCCAATAGAACATATTTATATATAGCGCATACAGTGCTTTTCCACATTGCTGGCTCATACTAAATAAATAAATACTCAAATTAAAGTTTCGAAGTGTCAATGAATTTTTTTTACTCTCGTCTCGTCCGAAGTGTGAAAATGGCACAATTAATTTCGATTGAATCAACCCTTTTTGGGGTCTCGTACATTTATTATTAATCTATCAATTTTGTCAATCTTTTTCAAATTGTGTATGTGATCGATATGAAGAGAGATGTGTGTTCATTGAAATTTAGGCCATTATTTAATTGCCGTTTAGATGTCGAAAAAAATGAAATATGTTCTTATTCGTCAATATTCACATTTGTTATTTAAAAGAAGAATAAAAAACGATACACTGTGTTTATTTTTGGAATATCATTGAGTAAAATTGTTTGGAAATTGCATCGATACCATTGTATCCGGTATTTAGTATGGGACGTGCTCCCCTCTTGTCACTGATTATTCCATTGCGTCTTTTATTTTGTTTTGTTTCAGTGTTTTCGTGCGAATACATCAACATCCATATTTGTTAGTCTATTCACCAATGAGATTATTCTTAATGATAACAGGCATTTTTGCAGCAACACCAGCAAACGGCAATCATTTTAATCGAGCTATTTTATTGTTTACATATTTGTATACGACTGAAGTGTTTCACTCTATCGCCTATATTCATTCTCATTCTTATAGCTGAAAAATCAAAATGATTAATTTTCGAATGTTTGCTCTGTATCAGTAATAAATTTCACATATTCGCAACAACTCTACACAATTTAATGAAAACCGTGTCAATAGCAAGATAGTTTACATCGCTTTTTCACTTGTATATACAACATCATTGCATTCAGTTTGTATAATAGTATCACATCGATAATCCATTCAAAAAACAAAAATCCATTTTGTGTGGTAATTAACTTGTGCGGATTCTTTTTGCCGTTTGAATTTGAAAAATACCGAAAGAAAAAAATCGGTGGTCGGTCGCTTACACAAATGTGCGTCGCATGTATGTGTTTGCATTAAGTGAGAAAGCGGTTTTGCAACTGTTAATCGTTGAGTTGATGGACAATCGTTAGTAGCTAATTAAAAATGTTTCATTCAAATGCATTAATGTCGAAACAGTGAAACACACCGATATCTGATATAAGAGGCCAAATACAGCCACATTCAAATAGATTGGGATTTGTTGTTTTTTTTCGATCTCCATTAAATGGCATAATAAACACTATAAAAAACCAAAATGATCAAATTTTTGTGAATCTGGCAATATATAGGGATATTTTCGGAACGGATTTTGCATTTCAACCAAAAAATCTTTAATGTTTGTTCAGTTAGTTTTTTTCTTTCTTTCTCTCTCGTTTGATACACAAAATCGTAATACATATACGATTTGATTCCCACATACGGCCAAATGTATGTAAAATGTTTTCTATCCTTTTGTCTTTCATAAAAATGTGTTCAATGATAATGGGTGATGATGTGAGAAGTGCGACTGTTACACATCCATTTCCATACACCGACTACACAAACATCATAATGTTAATCGAATGTACTATAGCAGTCACAGCAGCACCAGCACCAACAACAATAACAGTTTGAAAGGCTCATAGAAGTATCATCGTTGAGTCAAACATTGCTATTTGAAATGGGTCAAATGTCGATCGCATCGTTTTTTCGTTAATAAAATTTTGTTTATGCTATATGTAGTTGCCGTTTTATGAGCGCCGTTCTGTTTTTTTTTTTTGTTTCTGTTCATTCTTCTTCTTTTAATTCTTACTAATATTGCTATTCTGCTGTGTTGCTATTTTGTCGTCGGTGTGAACGGTCTGTTCTCATCCGAAAGAATATTCTATGGTATTCAGTGCGATCAAACAATCATTTGATCGTGAACAGACCACATGAACGGTTGTCGCCGTTCGTTACGCGTTTATGTTTCTATAAGTTTTCGGTTTCCGAAAAGTGCGTGTATCGAAGCGATAAGAAAGAGAAAAACTCACAGGAAAACATATTATCGTAGGAACTAAAAAAAATTATTATTAATAAATAACAGAGAAGAAAAATCAACTGCTATTGATTATTTGATGCAGGCGTGAATTGAAAACAAAAAAGTGTTTTTTTTTTAAATTGAAAGTTATTGAACATTGAACTGACTTGATATAAGCCATTGATATTATTTGTGTGATTAATCATTTGCAACCGATTTCTTTAAAATATTGGTAAGAATAAGATTTCGTTGTAATGTTGAGTCAATTATTTGTTGTTGTTGTTATTATTGCAAAGTTAGCGTTTGTGATTTGCTTCGGGACCGAAACTGATCGATTACAATTGATTATTGAACGAAGAATGAAAATTGTTTTGTGTGATTTTCAACGAACAGTTCACAATGTCATCAAATCCATTGACGAAGTTTCAATGTGAATAGCTAAATTAGGTCGACAAATTCATTTTCACTTTTTTTTTTGTGTACACTCTGTCGATTTGCGAAATGTAATCATTTCACTGATCATGCTCAAATTTTGCCGAGTGAAATTCTGTGTAAAATGTGATAACATGACATTTTTTTTGTTCTAAAATCGCGTTAACCTTTAAGCGTTCTCCGCACGGAGTAGGAATGCGGAATGTTTTTTTTGGCAATAACCAATTTTCAAGTTGGTCGAATGAATGAAATGGTTCGCGTATTAAAATAATTTTATATGATAGTTTCAAGGAAGTGATTTTACAAAAATAGATTTATATTCGAAAATGAAAGTTACATCAGTTTAAAAGCATTTAAACCAAATCAAAATGTTGAGATAGTGAAAATGAAAGATATATTTCCAAAGGAGAAATGAAAAGAGATAAAAAATGGCATAATCACACATCTTGGGTGACATAAATATACATGATATATTCGATTCTCGAAAATCATCTTACAGCGATTTACGAAACTCTTTTAAATTCGGAATGATAACGGCCCATTTGAAACCACTCAAACGAATTCATGTGTGAACATCGATGTATTATCATGTGACTGTATAAACTTTAGATAGGTTTCATTTGAAATTGATGTTGTCATTCCTATAAAAAAAATTCAACCTTGTTTTTTTTGATTCGACTGTTATAGAGATTATGGTCTAACCCGCTTTTCCGGTGCAAAATTCACATGTTTGCCACCATTCAGTTGTGCGTGCTTTCAATTTAATTTGATAATCATTGTTTGTTGTTTTCTTTTTTTTTCGTTTTTCTTTTGCAGGCAAGATGAAACCCATTTTATGGGTTCTTGCTACTTTGTGTTTCACACTTTTTGTCGATTTGGCATTAAGTGCACCATCGAAGGTATGATTATCATCTTCCTTGTTTTTCCTCTTCAATCTACTTTTTCAGCCAAGTAGATAAAAAATGCATCGATTCATTTCTATTTTAGACAAATGATGTTAGTCCAAAACTTGAATTAATCAACGATCATGAAATTCGAGAAAAACGTGCTAGGTAAAAATTCATTTGAAATGTTCATCGTTTGTTTTACTTTTCCGAAATGAAAAAACTCCAACACTGCTGCTGTTATATTTTGATTGTTAATTTTCTTTTATCACCATGTGAATTGTGCATATATTTTTGCTAGCCGAACGGGGCAAACTCAATCACAGTACCTGAATTATGGTGATTCACAAACTGAAGGTAAAGCTGATGCTGAAATAACAAGATACGGTTCGCGAGCATCTGTGTGTGAGTAAAAAAATCTTTATTTTCTTATTGCAGTGATTAAACGAACGATATTTAAATATGTTTGTCTTGATTCAGCTGGTTCAAATGGAATGGGACAGGCCCAAAGTCAATCGTCTGGCACAGGATGTGATGAATGTTATGGCAGCGATAATGGATATTCGCGTGGTAAATTTACAAATATAAACTACAATGAGAGAAAACCAAATGATTTTTTTTTTGAATTAAGGTGGAACTGGTAGCGGTCCAGATCCATTGAGAAGCGCGACTGGTTCATCAAATGGTTTGCCAACACAACGACAAACATCGTCAAATCTGGGATCGATTCCATCGGGAAGCGGTTTCAATATATATGGTAGACCAATTAGTGGAGACGTACCCATTGTTGGTCCAAGTGGATACGACTCTCAAGGTAGAATTTCCATAAAATTCCATTAAACTTTAACGAAAATTAATCGAAAATGTTTGTTGGAAGGTTTTGGTCCTTCAGTGGGCGGCCGTATACCATCTGAAAAAATAAAAGATGGATATGGATATCCATTGAGCGGCGGTGATACTTTACAACAACCGGGTAATTTGAATAATGGTTTTCCACCAAGCCAATCGGTTACTGATCAAACGGGAATTCACGGTAAAACACCAACAAATCTCGGTAGCTCATCATTTTTGAATCGACCTATTGGTTCCGGAAAACCGAGCATACAAATTGATACGTCAAATGGTCGTCCATCAATTTTGGCTGGACGAAAACCCAGTACAAGCGGCATTGATAGTGGTAAACTTGTTGATGGACAAGGTGGATATTTACCATCACATGATACTGGAAGCGGTAGCAACATTGGCCGTTCAACACCAAATAAATTGCCTTCATCGCATTTGCCATCGTACAGTCAAGTGCACGGAGGTGGTTCGCCAGTGGATAATATAACGCCATCACCAACCATCAGCCGACAATCACCAATTCGTAGTGGCACTTACGATTCAACACCGTCTGGCTACCCAGATCGAAGGTCTGGCGGCACTGGATTACAGCCAATCGATAAACAACCACAAGATAGATACGATAAAATCCATAAAACTGGAACACTTATTGACAATCGTAATGGACCATCATCAAATGTGCCGTCAACAGAAGTGCTCGATGGTTTGAGGCAAGTCTTAAAATTGCCACCGGGCTTGTGCTTGGTACGATGCGACACTGTACGACCTGGTCAAAGTTTGACAACAGATGAACTGACCGGTATTCTCTCGCCGAAAGATCAATTTACACAACCTGGAAAACCTGGCCAATATCCAACCATTGAATCACAAGTTTTATCAGGTTCGCAAAGTTTGCCAGGTAATTTTTATTTCAAAGGATCGAGTACTATCTGTCAAAATATTTCCCCCTATGCCAAGCGAAATTAATCCGATATACGGCGCTGATGTAAATGTCACTCTGTCATTTCACAATAATACTTTTTTGGCTTGACAATATATAAGCTCTTCATTTAAAATGCATACACATTCATAATTATTGAATCGTTGAAAAAAAAAACATGTCATAAAATATTTTTCTAACATTTTTCATTAAAAAATTTATTAAATTTTTTTTTTATAAAAAAATTAATTTGTTTATAAATTACAATAATTTCAACAAAAAATGTTTCATCGATTAAATAAGAATCCAATGTAAATAGTAATGACAATGCGACACCTACCGTAAAAATGCAAAAAGAAACTTAGTTGGTATCCATTGTAGCATTTTTGTCCACCATGACAGCATCTTCGTTTTACTTGACCAATCACAGAGAAGCAAAACGAAGATGCTGTTATGGCGGACCAAAATGTTACAATTCCAAATAAGTTTCCTTTTCTATTTTAACGGTAGGTGTCGCATTGGTATTACTTTTTACATTAGATTCTTGTTCAATCTATGAAAAAAATTGAAATTATTGTTATTTTTAAACAAATAAATTTAAAATATAGAGAATTTTTATGATAAACGTAAGAAGAATATTTTATGATATGTTTCTTTTTTTTACTCGACCGTTCAAAAATTATGCATGTTGAATGAAGAGCTTATATATTGTCAAGCCAAAAAATGTATCATTGTGGAATGACATAGAGTGACATTTAAATCAGCGCCGTATATCGGATTTATTTCGCTTAGCAAAGGGGGAAACGTCGTAATCGCTCCTTTGTTACAATCCCATTTCAGTCATAGCACTTCCATTACTCATTTTACCAATTGGATTTTAATCAAACAATGAATCCTTTCTATGATTTTATCGAAATATTAATTTATATTCGTAACTATAAATGTTCAAATCTCTTTCCTTTTCATTTTATAGATCAACAGCCCTCAGTTTACTCACAACGAGGTGTGTATTTTGTTCGTTTTTGTGAATTGAAAATCAAATTAAACATATTTCTTTCTTAGGTCAACAACAAATAGGAGGAGCTCAATTACCTCAATCTGGTACTCCTTCAGGCCAATATCCACAAACTGGTACTCCTTCAGACCAATATCCACAAACTGGTACTCCTCCAGGTCAATATCCACAAACTGGAACTCCTTCAGGACAATATCCTCAAACAGGCACACCTGCAGGCCAATATCCTCAAGCAGGCACACCCACAGGCCAATATCAACAAACTGGTACTCCTTCAAGCCAATATCCACAAACTGGTACTCCTTCAGGCCAATATCCACAAACTGGTACTCCTTCAGACCAATATCCACAAACTGGTACTCCTCCAGGTCAATATCCACAAACTGGAACTCCTTCAGGCCAATATCCACAAACTGGTATTATTCCAGGTGTGTATTCTATCATTTATAATAATATGTAACGTTGAAGAATTCGTATTGCATTTTCCATGGTTATATTAATCGTGTTGAATTGGAAAATTTGTCCTTTCCCAATGAAATGCTCATAGGTCAAAAACAACAACCAGGATACACACAGTATCAACATATATCAGGACAACAGTATACTCAACCCGGAACTGGTTTGGGCCAATATCCACAAGTAGCACCAGGTACTATCAAAAGATATCAATAAGAATTTTTTTGTTGAAAGCTTTCACTGCATCGTATGTTTCTCATAAATATATTTTTTCAGGACAACAACTACCTGGCGGTGTTACAACGTCACAAGGTAGAATATAATTTTCTTTCATTCAATTGGTTGTTAAATTTACAAAAAAATATTAAAATTGCTTTGATTCAGGTCCATTACCAGGTTATTCTCAATATACACCAACTGGATCTCAACTTCCATCAATTCCACAAGGTGCACTACGTATATTTGATATCAAATATATTTCCGTGTCGAAATTATCGTCATTGAACATGTATTGCATTAATACCCAATTATTTATATATTTTTTATTATTCAGTAGGCCAAACTCAACAGGGATATGGACAATATCCACAAGGAGGTAAAGCACAATATAAATCAATCAAAAATGAAATATTTTTTTAATAATAAACGAAAATTTATTATATTTAGGTCAATCCCAACCAGTGATCCATCAACAAACTGGCGGTGTTACAGGCTTACCTACAGGTAAATTGAGGTCCTTATTTTTTCCGAAAATGGTGCATATGTCATGAATAATCATTAAAACGTTTGGAAGGCTTTTAAATTGAGGTGTATGATAATTGAATGATATCTTTAAATTAGGTCAAGTGCCATCACAAACAGGAACAGTTGTACAATTTCAACAAACTGGTACTCCTTCAAGCCAATATCCACAAACTGGTACTCCTTCAGGCCAATATCAACAAACTGGTACTCCTTCAGGCCAATATCCACAAACTGGTACTCCAT